GCGCATTGCCTCGGAGGAACGGTTCGCTTCGGCTGCGGGGAGCGTCATAGCTCCGTTTACAAATAGCATATAGGGACTTGTCGACAGTAACAATAATTCCATTGTCTTTCTACGTCCGTCCTTCGTATCTTAGCTGATTTCAAGCCATTCAATATCAATTGATTCTATAACGGCCACAATGTTCGCCCGACAGTGCTCACGATTGGTGTCTTCCCGGACTGCCGTCCCCTTGTCTTCGTATCTTTCTCGTGTTAGGCCGTATTCCTCGGCATCAGGATATGAGCACATCCTAACCTCCAGCCCCAAGCCTGGTGTTGGGCTAAGTATGTATAGACCTCTTATCCCGCTTAATATAGCAAATGATAGTTACTCACTGGGACGATAGTCACATTGAACCGCCCTAAAGCCCTCAATGCCCTTTCCAGCCCTCTCTTCAAAGAGATCAACGATGCCCTCTCCAAATACGATGAGGACAAGGATATTGGGGCCATCATAATCACAGGGAGTGAGAAGGCTTTTGCTGGTATGGTATCTATCTGGTCCTAGATTTGGCAATGCAAGATTAGGCTGACTAGCAATCAAAGCTGGTGCCGATATCAAGGAAATGGCGCCCTTGACCTTCTCAGCTGCCTACAGCAACAACTTCATCGCCCCTTGGTCCCACCTTGCCAACAATATTCGTAAACCTGTTATTGCCGCAGTGTCTGGCTATGCCCTTGGTGGTGGCTGCGAGCTCGCCCTCATGTGCGACATCATCTACTGTACCTCGAATGCCACCTTCGGCCAACCAGAAATCAAATTAGGTGTTATCCCCGGTGCTGGCGGGTCGCAGCGCCTGACTCGTGCAGTAGGAAAGAGCAAGGCCATGGAGCTGATTCTGACTGGAAAGAATTTCAGCGGCAAGGAAGCGGGAGAATGGGGTGTTGCTGCGAAGGTCGTTGAAGGAGGCAAGGATGAGCTGCTCGAGGAGGCCCTCAAGACTGCCGAGACGATTGCAGGTTATAGTCGTGTAGCCGTCGTTGCTGGCAAGGAGGTGGTGAACAAGAGTCAAGAACTCTCGTTGAGAGAGGGCGTCGAGTATGAGAGACGTTTGTTCCATGCACTTTTCGGCAGTAAAGACCAGAAGATCGGTGAGTTGCCTGGTGTTTCTTTACTGTAATACGTTGCTGACAGCATTAGGCATGACGGCTTTTGCCGAGAAGAAGAAGCCTGAGTGGTCGAATGAGTAAACTTGTTTGGAGCGCTCGATATTCCGGAGCCCCCGCTTGGTTTCACCATTCATGGTAATTTGACTGAAAAAAAGAAATCCTAGGACGTTAATACAAGAGCACTGATAACCCATCGCTTCAATATTAGAGCCAACAACAAACGATGACAATCAAGATCGGACATAGCATCGTAACGTAAATCGTATTCATGATTAGAGTATGTACAGCATTAGATATCAGATTATGTTCGAGAATAGTATAGTAGTATCATGACGACCCGGCTTGCTTCTCCAATTGAGCCACGTCAGTTATGGCCGATTTCTGTGCTTGATAGTCTTTCACCACGTGATCTTCAATGGTTTCGTCGAAGACATCCACTTGCGTGCTAGCGAACTTGCGTGCGCTAACGCCTCGTTCAAAAAGAAGGTCCAGTTCAGCAAAGGAGCGGCCCATGGGCTCCGGGACGCGGAAATAGGTGTAAATAACACACAGGAAGCAAATTCCACCCCAAAAGAAACCCGCGAAATTACTCCAGTTCCAGGCCTCTGGGTTGAGCATATAAGGGGTCAGGACACCGCACACAATGGCAACAATATTATATAGATTGCGGCCAAGGACCACGGTTTTGATTTGCAGTCGGCGGGTTGAGAGTTCGGCGACCAAGGAGTATGCGACTGTTCCAACAGTGCATTGGTAAAACAAGGCCCAGACAAGCATCATGGAGCCTGTTGCGAGGGACGATTGATCCCGGTGTGAGTCTGGAACCAGACCGAGGAAGCCCATGATAAGCAGCATAACACAGAGGCCGCAAAGTCCGTACAGGTAAAGGGTTCTGCGACCGATTCCTAGAGTCATGAGAAACCATGCCCCGAAAACACCCACCATATTGATACCGTATTGCCCCATGGCAAAAGCATAGGATTTATTGGTGGCTAAGCCAGCCTGCTTTAAGAAGTACGTAGAATAGTTGGAGAAGGAGTTACCGCTCAGGTTCTGGATTGCCCAAACCATGCAAACGATCTCTGTTCGCCGTAGATCGGTGCCCTTGAAACAGTCAAAATAGCTAGCACCTCGCGTAATCTTGGCTTCGAGTGCTGTGGTATGAACCATCATGGAAATGGTCTCGTCAGGATCGAAGTCAGTGTCTCGCTTCGCGCTAGTTAACCGTTGAAGAGCTCGTTTGGCTTCCTGCGTTTTGCCTTTCCGCACAAGCCACCATGGCGACTCAGGTGCCAGGAAGATTCCAATTAGTAGGGGTCCCGGCCACATCCATTGTAGGCCGTACGGAATCCGGTATGCCCATTCATCAGTCCGGTCGATCATTCCCATGATCACGCCGATACCAATCAGCTGGCCTAGACCCCAGCAAAAGTTGACATAGGTTGTCAGGTATCCTCGCAAAGCAACGGGACAAACCTCTGATGCATATGTGACCGAGAGTGTTTGGAAGACACCCCAGGGGATACCGGCGAGGATTTCGGCAGCGAGTAATGCTTGAACGTTGGGCGCAGTAAAAAAGATGGCAGTCCACGCTGTGATCAAGATGAGGCATGCGATCATAGTAGGCCGGTACCCGAACCGTTCCGAAGCCCATCCATTGATAAAGAGCCCAATAATTTCTCCGACATATGCACCGTTGCTCAGACCTGCTTGCCACTAGAAAAATCTGTCAGCATACATTCATACGCTTTGCCGGTTCACAAGAGGAAGAAAGGTTAAGAAAACACATACCCGAGCCGGTACTTCATATGTCCCGTCTGCCGTTAGCTCGCCGTACTTCTTGTTGAATTGATCAAAGGCGTAGAAATTGTTGACCAGACTGATGTCGTAACCTTCCATGACTATACAAGTAGAGATGAAAACACTCCATGCGACGGCTTTCGGGTAAAGCTTGATTCCTTGCAACAGGGTCATCTGCTGCTCCTTATCCGTCGCGGCTTTCGCATTATGAACAATCTTAGCCGCGGATGCCGTGGAGTCCTGGCGACCGTTGCGGGATTCTGGCAAGTGTTCGTCTGCCGGGTCAATGGCATCCTGAGGCTTAAAGGAAGCCATGCTGGGCAATTGCTGTCCCCAATTGAAAGAAAAGAATTAAGGGGGACAGAAATGGTAGCCAAAGGGATCTTAAAGGGAAAAGGGATGGACACTCGTGGACAAAGATTGCACCGGTGGTTCCTCTGCTGGTACGGCCAGTGGGACGATGTCGCTAGAAATTTATGGATGGCTCGGCGGGGCCTTTCGAGTCCCCACTTCCGCTTCTACCCAGGAACATCGCAGAACGCCAGGGGAGTGCGTTTTGGTTGGATGTTGAAATTTTTCTGGCCTTTGACGCCAACAAGGAATTAAAATTGTACTTGAAGGAAAAAGGAAATTTTAAGAACCCGGGAAGCCCTAAAGTAGACTAGCACGAGACTGGGGATTTAAATTGCGGGGAAACGGAGATTTGACTCGTGCTCTGTAGCAGATCATAGGCGGCCAAGCCATTAGTCTGTCTCGCCCATTGGATAGCTGTTGGAACTGGGCGTACGGAGTCAATCGCAAGGTTTTGTAGCTCCCTGTCAGTGGAAGATTCTGTCCCGAGGAAGGAATCGCAAAGAACAGACCGGAAATGATGCTTATGTAGATGCCGCTAGCAAAAGAATCCAGCGCACAAAAGGAGAGCCGAGTTACGCAAAATTTTCTGCAAAGATTCGACCCGGACAAGGCTATCACGGCTTAAGGGCTCTTTCGAACTGGAAGTTCTCTGTGTAAATTCCCGTGATCACCAAATTTGGTCTAGACCTTCCTGAATGATCCTGGTTCCTCCCATCTGTCATGTGAGATCGTGACACGGGAAGAAAGAACGAATTGAAAAGCAAGGAAAGAAATTAGGGCTCAATACTCCAACTGAGGTTGTACATTTTAGTAATATATAGTTAATTAGATGGCACTCACAAGCTAGAGATTTGCATCTTTACACGTGCCTACAAATAAGTATATGTTGAGGGTGGCCAGTATTAACATTTTACTGAGTGGCATACGCGTTGCAAATCGAAGCAAGAATGATTCGTAAATAAGCCTACAAAGCTTGAAATATTTGAATATGAGAGTGTAGTCTCTTTTACCTAAATAAGTTATACTTGGCATTGCATGTCAGTCCATGGTCAGTTGGCTTCTCCGATAAACTAAGACTTCGAGATGAATGCATCCGACATGGAACAACTATCATGGCAATCAGTATGTATGATAGAAGGCCTTTTCCTCTTCTTCTTGTCTTATTTCTTTCCTTTTCAAGTTTCTTTTCTTTTCTTTTCTTCTATTATATTTATGGTGGCCCTACCAACGCTTGTTGATTTACCATGTTAGTATTAGTATAATGTAAATAATACATCCGCTTCATTGCGCTATGATACAAACATTCTGCCTTGATTTTCGGGGGCTTACGAATCTACCAAAATCAAATATACATGTCCAACTTCAGGCTAAAGTTCAACAAGAATTGAACCATTTATTACAACCTTTGGAATAATTAATCATCAAGGTTTGCACCTAGCCCCTAGAGCTTTAACCCAACTATTTAGGGCTCGATAGAGATACCTCCCACGATAGAACCAAATAAGAACGCCGAAAGGAACTATGAAATCATTCCATCCCAATCTCCAAACTAATAATACATCGGCAGTAGAGCATGCTAACCACCCCAATAAAGCAACATAGTAATAACATCCCGAAGAAAAAAACAAAAAGCCTTCAGAGTCTGAGAAGACTCCCCTTCAGATACCCATCGAATGACCAGAAGATACAAGGATACTCTCACTTCTTCTGCTCAGTCTTGCTGAAGATGCTCCCCGCCGACTCTCCAACGTTCTGGGTGGTATTGCCAAGCCCTTCACTGGTGCCACTGACAGTTTTTCCCAGACCCTCAGTCGCTCCACCAACGGTTTTTCCTAATCCACCCACGGCAGTGCCCAGAGTATCAGTTACCCCACCGACAGTCTTGCCCAGGGTGTTGCCGACTCCTCCAAGTAGGCCGGCTACAACGTCCGTCAGCACCACTAGCCATGTAAGTAGGTCGTAAAGACCAACAGATGCGGTCAAGATAGATAGGTGTAATCACAGGTTCAGGGAACATCTTCTGGAGAAGAGAATGGCGAAATTACTTACGGTTCTGCTTATCAGAAGAAGAAGAGGAAGACATTGTGTTTGAAGGGGATGTGAGATGCGGGTGGTTAAACGGAGGTAGTTTGTCACAAACTTAGATATGGATATTGTACTAGACTTGTCAATATTTGTATTGCCTAAAGTTGCAAAAATGTAGTTAAATCTAACGTTTCAACTGTTCTTATATGTATGCCTGCGGGTTTCAACGCCGAGGACACTGGCTCACTATGATATCATCGGCTGATCTCAACGGCGTCGTACCCAGCCAATTATATCTGATAGATCACTCCGATAATAAGCGATCGACTGATATCGTTGTACTGTGTATGAAACTGATAGCTATGATGCAAGTGTGAATATCAAGATCGTACATCTTGTTTCTGCCGATGATGGACTCGATAGGCATGGTTACACCTCTTCCGTCATCGCGCATGCGAAATTATGCGTGCTATGCAGGTGGATATAGGCTAATAGCTAGGCCCTAGGCTTGAATATACGGTGCAGGATGTACATTTAATTTGATTACAGTGGAAGTACAGGAAACCAAAATAAGATGGTAGAACCATACTGCCAACAGGCTTAGCTTTTATACCTTTTCTTGGTTCTACCACTGATGTACTGTTCTATTAATTTTAAGAGTATATACCATGGAAAGTAATTATTTAATAATGGTACTAGTAGCATAAATTCTGGAAATTTACAGTGGGCAATATGGTATTTATTCAATGATCTTTAGTGTGCATCCTGCATAGTGGAATTTTTAGACATGTGAAAAAAGAAAAAAAAAGAAAATTTTGACATACCTCAAGACACTGTGCCGGCACTGTAGATCCACAAGCCCCCTGTCCTCCGCCTAGGAGAATGGCATGTATAAGTTAAAAGGATGTTGATGCGAGCGACAATGCGCTATACTGATCATAAAGTGGGGGTTTACAACTACTTGACATTCAAGATAATGTAGTTGTCTGAACCGAGCGAGTTATTAGCTATTGACGCCCCCTTGACCACATTGCGAAGGTACAGAGGCGCTATTGCATGATGCCCTTATTAGTTGAGGTGACTTAGGACGAAACGCTCTGTTCTGTTACAAGGCCAGTATGCAAGATTATTAAATTTGGCTATACTCTGTTCAGGTGCTATTGCAAAATGCTCCTAAGGCATTCTATGCGAATTGCAATGAGCAAACGCGTTAAGAAATTTCGCCCGACAGGAATTGTTCCATGGGAACATCTTTCCAGTTATCCTCCGTGAGGAATCGCGCTTCGATATCACGGATTTTATTGTCTCAGATTCGTCACCAATGCAGATGTTCCGTAACGATGGTCCCAGAAAACTTGTGATATCTCTATATCTCATTTGATCCTATGGGACACTATACCCAATGGTTATATTAATGTGGGAGATGACCTCGCTTGACTGTGTGGAGCGGTCCTAACCTTTATCACATCATTCAGTGGGCTCCATCCCTCCAGAAGTTGCTCTGAGTATTATCCAACGAAAAGTGTTTGAATTGTGGGGATTTCAGTATAACGGCTGCCGTAGGTAAATACCGGGCCAAATTATGGCTGAGAAAGCCGCTGGTGCATGCAGAATGGTGGGATTGACCGTTCAGATTGGAGGAGATGCCCCACTCATTTTCTCTTCACGAAGTGGTCTATTGCCATATGGAAAAACGAGCACCAATCGGGCGAACATGCTCCACTGCCCTGAGCTACATGGGGGCATTCTGGGCTTCTCGTTCAAGACAGGATTGTCCTTGCTTAGTACGCATCAGGTGAGATGCATAAGCTGTCAGGAATTAGTGCAAGCTAATGTTCTGTATTTGTTGTCCACCAAGTTGTGATTGCCGAGATTTTGCCATTTTCGAGGTACACACAACTTATCGGGTGATGCCTGAAGATAGTAGTTTCGTTAGGTTATCCTCTTAACGCAACCTGAAGATGTGGCATAGATTGAGTGTCCCACCCCGCATCGTAATACTAACCCATGGTGGTCGGTGTTCCGTATAAGATGCTAGGCGAAAATAACATGGAGATACAGACATGTTTTTTTAATCCTGAAATATCAAGATTTTGTGTAAATCTTGAAAGTTCCCGACCGGACCAACAATCGTCAAGCTCCCGGAACTGAACTGGATAGTGATCACTGATACAGTTTCTAAAATCATGTGCTGGCAGATCTGTCGTACCTATCAAGACTGTCCCCACATGTACCGATATGACTATGGAAAGTGTAGCGATGCTAAAGCTCGTTCGAATCAACATTTTTGTGTTGGTCCGGATGGCACTATGCGCTCCCTCGAACGAACAATTGATGTGCAAGATCAGGAGGTATCTGGAGTTTGTCCAGCTTGCGCAGCACAAACACCCTTCAGCTCTGAGGGTTCACATATGGGGCTTGTTGAGTAGTAAAGGTATCCTTCCCTCCAGCTGCCGCGATATCGATATCTTCACTCCCTCTTATGTCTAGATCATAATAGCTTCATGCGTCCTGACATCAACCCCAGCCGGCTACAGCGAACGAGAAAGAGAGCTTGGTCCCATAGAACTGGGCGGCTGTTGGAAACCTAACACTTCAATGCGTGGTCCTGGCTCGTCTTATATCTATTGGGCGGCACGGGATGCGGCATCTGCACATTCGTCCCCGTGATTGGCAGGGGGGTGTGACCACTGTTCTAGAAGAGGGGTTAACAGCCTTGGCTGTGTGTTTCGAAACTCCCATCGGTCTTTCCAATACTACTAGTACTGCCGCCAACTACGGATTACAAGCCACACCTTACCCATCCCGTTGGTAACCATACAGTCTAGTTTAATACCCTAGGGCTATCTTACAACTTTCTGGAGAGGGGCAAGTGTCAGGGCTAGACCCATACAAGACCATCTACTACTCAATGGCAACCGCTGTCTTCCAGAAACTACCCAGACAGCCGAAACGAGTCATTTTACAGCTCCGCGTGGACCAGTTCATTGATTGCCTGCAAAATGATTTCGAAGAGGCCATTGAGAAATACTTTGTGGTATCCGGACGATCTATGAGTGAGATACACTTGGGACGACATTTCATTCATATAGAGCCGTTTCAGAGTGACGATGTGCCTCAGAAATACTTTCATATCGTTCTCGATCTTGAGCAAAGCCAGGGTCCCGTCGCTTTCTGCACGTTACCACATGAGCTGTTTCATATTCGTCGGGTCGGCAAAGGAATGTAAGAGATATCTCTCCTTCACAGATGATGCAAAACAATCGAAGTAGTCCACAGTCCAACTGGGAATGTTGACTGTGAGATAGGCAGCTATTGAAAACGAACAACCAACTCATCGCAGAGAATCTGCTGAGCAAGATACGTTCCTATACTGATGAGTTATACCCTTGGGGAAGTACTCGAGTATGAACGTGCTTTGTGGATAAATGGTCTTTTATCGTTTTGAAGCGCCTGGCATTGTGTTTGGATGACGTGAACCTATGTGCGACTTCACAATAATTGCACCTCTCCTCCCCGATGTGAATGACTTTATTTTGGCTCTCCAAGCTTTGAAACAAGGGTACAAAGCGATAACCCAAAGGGTTCTAAGCCACATGACCCCTTGCTTCGATGGTTGCTATTTGGTTTTGGGCTTTTCTTTTCGACGATGTTTGATCTCTGCTCTATCAAAGACAGTGTGAAACTCGAGCTACAATAGATTAACATTATATGGTTGACGTTCGTTTGATTGTTGAAGTTGTTGTCTAGTGGGTCTTTCCAACGATCTAAAAGTGTCTTGGCTACTACCGGCGGATTACCTTAATTCTATTTATTTCGCCATCGAACAAACTTCCGTATCGTCATATGCCAGAGCGTACTTTATCACAAGAGCAAGTACCGATAAGACAGGACATTTATTCGTCTTTCAAGTTATTGAGCTTGAATTCAGGCAATTATTCAGCATTAATCGGACCTCAATGTTCTCCGCTTCGGAGGGCGGAGCTTCCCGCCGGCTGGAGGCTTCCGCCGGGGAACTGCTCAGGGTCGGAAAAGACCTACTAGGCTACTACTAACATCAGGTTCCACTGTCGATTGTGCTCGGTTAGATGTCCCGATAAGACCCCTGTCTCACGTCCTTTTGATCAATTCCGGACGTTAGGAGGCCATGCGAGCACAACTCTTTGTTGACTTTTGTGCTGTATATAGTCTTTCTTATTACTATATATAGAGCGGCATGTGTCATATACCAGGTGTATAGGGCCTATTATGAACCTGGGGAATTATCGAAAAGTCGATCATGGAACGTTGAAGCTTCTGTATTCATGATCTCCATTAGTCGCAGTATCGGGACGGAATAATTTCCGCCAGGCGGAGCGCTCCGTAGTCCGTTAGTGTGTTTCATAGATCGTCCAATTCGACTATGCGCCTATGTCCAATTCACCTTCAGGTACGGAATACAAGTCATGAAAAATTCGGTGCCTAGGTATGCGGACCGGTGGCCATATTTATGTCTATCTATTTGTTGAATAACCGTATTTAATAACCGATTTGGATTATGTTCACTGGGGATATAACGTTGGATATGAGCCAATGGGGAACTTGAGGTCGTGGGGCGCATTCTATTGCCCAAAAAGGGCAAAACTCGCGCCCCGCAGGTAAATTGATTTGTATCGGTAAGCCTACCGGTCGGGAAGGTCCAGACAGGGGGCATTTTTCAGCATACAATGTGGACAGGACCATTCTAGCCTGGTCCACTGACTAAGATCTCTAGAAGGAAGCCTGATATGCAGTATTGGCAGAGTTAATTGCATGTTACTAGTGTGACCTCGGAATGTGAGTAGTTGACCTGGAGGAAATCGGGTTCCACTCCCGGATCCCTTAGCGTTGACCGCCGTACAGAGTAGGTGTTTCCGGGAGATACAACCGTGTCTTTTTGCAAGATACCTGTACGACTCCCGTACGACGGTCGGTATATATAGGTAGATATCCAGTTGCGATTACAGAGATAGAGTTACCATTTTTTTTTTTTTTAAAAAAAAAAAAATTCCTCAATGCTGCTTTTATCTACCCCAGAAATATGGGAGGGTCAAAGGTCGGTCTCCATCTGACATTGACAGAGGTTTCATTGGCCAGGACCCTTATTGAGTTGTGCGGGGTAAAAGAAAAGCTACTCAATTAGCGCTTCGGGAAACTCCTTTTATTCTCATTAATATTATTATGTATACAAGATTTGTTGGGAGCTTCTCCTCATTTTGCCCTGCCCGGTTAGACCCGTTTAGTAAATGCTTTCCTCACATAGGTTCGATGCGGAGATGATAATCCATCTCAGACACTATGCTGTACAAGCTGTACAAGCTGTACATCCTACTAGTATCCTGTATTGAAAACGTTAGTAATGTCTGGAACTAAAGGGGAAAAGTTATGGGTCTTGGTTGGTGGATGGGGACGTCATCATCTGATTAAATCTGCTTAATCATTGGCTGAAGCTGGGGATGGGTTTGAGGAACCGCTAACCGTTTCGCCTTTTTTTCTTTTTTTTTAATTATTTTATTTTCTTTTTTTACCATGTCTTTTGTCCGACACAACCACTTTTATACTCGACTTGCTTTCCCCTCCCTTCCTGTCGGCCCCGTTGACCATTTGAACTCCGGGTATATAAATCCCCGCATTCTCCATCTCCCGACTTGTTTGGTTTTCTTCTTCCAGACTATCCCTTTCTCTGTTTATCTCATACTCTCTCCACATATTCCATCATGGGTAAAGACGACGAACCTAGTATGTCTAGTCTCCTTCGCCCCCTTCGTAATCGAAACTAAACAGCGCCTTCTTCACAGGAACCTACCGCTACAACGAGAAGCCGGTTTACACCACTTCCAATGGCTGTCCGGTCTTCGACCCTCAGGCCGCGCAGCGCGTTGGCCGTAACGGCCCTCTGCTGCTTCAGGACTTCCACCTGATTGACCTTCTGGCACACTTTGACCGGGAGAGAATCCCAGAGCGTGTCGTTCACGCCAAGGGTGCTGGCGCCTATGGCGAGTTCGAGGTCACCGACGATATCAGCGACATCACAGTCATTGATATGCTCAAGACCGTTGGCAAGAAGACCAAGTGTTTCACCCGTTTCTCTACCGTTGGTGGCGAGAAGGGTTCTCCCGACAGCGCTCGCGACCCCCGTGGCTTCGCCATCAAGTTCTACACTGATGAGGGTAACTGGGACTGGGTGTTCAACAACACTCCCGTTTTCTTCCTTCGTGACCCTGCCAAGTTCCCCATCTTCATCCACACCCAGAAGCGTAACCCCCAGACCAACTTGAAGGATGCCACCATGTTCTGGGACTACCTCTCCACTCACCAGGAGGCCGTTCACCAGGTCATGCATCTCTTCAGCGATCGCGGTACCCCCTACTCGTACCGCCACATGAACGGCTACTCTGGCCACACCTACAAGTGGATCAAGCCGGACGGCACTTTCAACTACGTCCAGATCCATCTGAAGACTGACCAGGGCAGCAAGACCATGAACAATGAGGAGGCCGGCCGTTTGGCTTCCGAGAACCCCGACTGGCACACCCAGGACCTGTTCAACGCCATCGAGCGCGGTGAGAACCCCTCTTGGACCGTCTACGTCCAGACCTTGAGCCCTGAGCAGGCTGAGAAGTTCCGCTGGAACGTCTTCGACCTGACCAAGGTCTGGCCCCAGGCCGAGGTGCCCCTGCGTCGCTTCGGCAAGTTCACCCTCAACAAGAACCCCCAGAACTACTTCGCCGAGGTCGAACAGGCAGCTTTCTCTCCCTCGCACATGGTCCCCGGTGTCGAGCCTTCCGCCGACCCTGTGCTGCAGTCCCGTCTCTTCTCCTACCCCGACACCCACCGTCACCGTCTTGGCGGCAACTACGAACAGATCCCCGTCAACTGCCCCATGCGGGCTTTCGCCCCCTGGCAGCGTGACGGCTACATGAACGTACACGGCAACTACGGCGCCAACCCCAATTACCCATCCACCTTCCGCCCCTACGAGTACAAGCCCGTAAAGGCTAGCCAGGAGCACGAGAAGTGGTCTGGCTCCGTCGTCACCGAGCAGCTCCCCGTCACATCGGAGGACTACGTCCAGGCCAACGGTCTCTGGCAGGTCCTGGGCCGCCAGCCCGGCCAGCAGGACGCTCTTGTCCACAACATCTCCGTCCACCTGTGCAACGCTCATGAGCGCGTCCGCAAGGCCACCTACGAGATGTTCACCCGTGTCAACAAGGACCTTGGTGCCCGCCTCGAGAAGGCTACCGAGGCGAAGGCCACCCACGCCAAGTCTGCTCGTCTGTAATTCAAGAATTATCCCGCTTTTGTACTATCCATCTAGCAGCTCAGTTTGATTAAAATATTATTAGCATGAATTAACGAACCAAATGATAAACTATTCTTTCTATCTTGATTTTTTCTTCTCGCTTATGGTTTGTCTCGCTCAGCTTATTGGGATGGAAGTACGGAGTAAATAACGTCCCCATCATCCTTCTCTGATTGATTTTCTTGTGAGATTACAATCTTACCTACCATGTTGCGTCGAATTGAACTGCTCATTTCAGTTGTCTGCATACCTAGCTCTATATTCTTCTTGATTGGACGCATCGTTGTGAGTACCGGATGCATGTCGCATTTAGTTCTTAGCTTCTTAGTGGTCAATCAGAGGCTGTTATATATAAAGCTTCCTATAATACAACCAATAACAATACGTGATCCCGTATTTATAAAGTAGTCACGAAAATCCAAAACAACCCGGAAACCAAGCGTGTCCAAAAAATAAATGAATAATGATAGTCCCCGATCTGTCAGCCAGAAACACCTGAAATTCGCTATATTGAAGAAGCAAGAGAGCAAAGATCGTAGATAGTCGTGTCGTTTATGATGCGGAATGTTAAAGTTTCTATATGTCAGTTTAGCTCGCGCTTTGGATGCAGAGTCTTAGCTTTCGGTGTATATGTTCAGCACGGATAAGCGCTATATGTATGCGTCGCTGGGCTCGATCAGGGTGGCGTGGTCATGGGGTGACTACTGGTGGTTACAGGGTCCCAACAACCCCAGACATACCCAGGCGTGAGGCATGTGTGAGTCAGAGTTGGGGGTGCTGTTTGGGAAACTTTCGAAGTACTGGTGGGGTCGTTACATCCAAACCAGCCAGGTGTCTTGCACGTAGACGAGGTCATGGTAGGTGCGGTGGTTGTGGGCGACGGTACGGCGGTTGCGTCTGTTGTAGTGGTCGGGTCGTTACAACCGAACCAACCGGGTGTCTTACACGTCGATGTGGACGTCGACGTCGATGTCGTTGTAGCTGTTGTAGTTGTGCTCTCATCAAGACAGCCCCACCATCCGGGGGTCTTACAGGTCGAGGTACTTATCGGGGTAGAGCTCGTCGTAGACGTTGTTGAGCTAGTAGTGGTGATTTCAGAGCCATTACTGCGAAAGAATTTCCACAACACGCAATCGTAGCACTCTTCTTCCGCGGCACAGTCCGGGACCTTGTCATATACCTTGATAACATCGGAGATCACAGCTTTTATACGATGCGTCCCAATTCCGACGCGCCAGCCTTTGTCTTCAACTGTATCGTAGACACACATTTGACCCGTATGACATGCTGACTCCATGGCGTAGCCTCCCCATGTGCATACAGAGCTGACACCATTACAGGTTCCCATGTAAACGGGATCGGCAGTATGCCCGAAGTGGTAGGCTCCGGTGTACCGTCTAGACTGAGGATGTCTGGGATCATATCCTGGCGGGCTGGGGAGACCTAAGCGAGCTGCAGGAAGTGCCTCGGGGACAGCTTCAAATGTGACAACAGGAAGTCCATATGTCAAACCAAGCAAGCTGGACATTGCGCCTCCCAGGGAATGACCTGTCAGCCAAACATTCGCCTCTGGATAAAGCTCAGTGACGTTTGAGTAGAGGTCCAATGCCGCACGGTAATACCGGTTTTCATCATTCATGGCCTCAGTTATGCAAGTCAAGTTGGCCTTGTATGCAGATGTCTGGCAATCACATACTTGTCGCCAGAGGTACGAGCCACCCTGCCCGCAACAGCAGCTAAAGAACAGGTTATCATTCACTTTATCATTGGTAGTCGTACCTGCACCATCGAAGAGAGCCGGTGAAGTTCCCTTGAGAGATATAACAATAGTGCCGTTTGCCCTGTCAGCATAGATATGACCTCTCAGTCCGTCGCCTCTCCAGCCGAAGCTCGATGAGTAATTGAAGTGACCATGAACATCCTGCCAATCCTCACTGCCTGGCTCCTCAATATAATCATTCGCTGTCATCTGGGCAAGCGTGAGAACACTTTCTTTTTGCGTAACATCGGGACCAGCTAGCGTATCCATGACCCATTCCGACGGAGAGAGTACGACCGCTGACCCAGACGACCTAGCTGCCATCAAATGTGCCTCGATGTTGGAAGGACGTCGATCTGCAAGCCGTTCGATGGTAATAGGACGCGATGAAGCCACTAATGGGGAGTTCAAGATGGCGGGTCCCTCCTCGAGGCCATCTTCTGAAACGGCCCGAAGACGGGTATGCGGTTTGATGTCGAGTCTCTGGTGGAGATCTGGTTGTTCATATGCTCCGCGACGGAAGATGTGGCGAAGTGTCTGTGTCAGCGTCAGTCTACTGCATGCTTGACAAAAGTATGTAGGCTGAGTAGCATAAAGCACCTACAAACTCATGGGTGCCTGAAAGTGCAGGAGGCTCAGCTAAGGGGACCTGTGGAGGGATCAAGGGAGATGATCCTCGGGATTCGAAGTATACGGACCCTAAGCCGAAAGTCGCACTGGGGAGGAGGGCCACGCCCAGAAGGGCATGTAAAACAATCATATTTGCTGAGAGGTGCCTATTACTTCAATCTCGGAGAAATTCCATAGTAATACAGAGATGATCACAGTATGTTGGAGATGACTTTGGAACAATCGACCTTATCAGCGAATGACCGATTGCCTGGGCGGTGAGGCGGCGGCGTGACGCAGTGCGGAGAGACAGGCCCACTTCCTAAAAACCAGTTATATATTTCACACTAGTGCTAATATGGCAATACAGCCTAAAGCTTACGGCCAAATGATTCGATTATCCAACTGAGTCTGGTTAGGTTGTCTAACTTTTAATAGGGAAGGGTCCCACGTGATTGGCCCGGGAACGCGTGACGGTTGTCAATCATGGCTTGTCGCAGTGTGATACTCCCTCTATCTGTACTCCGCATCTGCTCTCTTCAATGTCACTTTCTCCCCCAAACGCCTTGGGTGTCTCCGGGCTTTACTAACAGTATGTTTCTGCACGAATAAAACTATTCCCACCAGAGTTGCCTTGTTTCTTTTCCGGTGCTTGTCTCGTGCTGGTTTATGTGTTATCTATCGATAAACAGTGGCGCCAGATAACTGCGTGCAATCTGCAAGAACCGGCCGACTAAACTGCTTTAGGACCATATCGCAAGATAAAACAGCATATTTCGACCAGATTCGGGCCTAGCATACGCATCTATCATAATCATCATGTCTTTTGACCCTACTGAAAATGGCTCTGGAAAGCCTCGATTGCATACGGCTCGCTCGTTTCCCAGGATGGATACTTCAGAGGCGACCCCTTTCATTCGCTCGAGGTCTAAGACCTTTCAGTCAGTGGCAACACCGGAGCATGTCGAGTCTGATGCGCATCCCTTACCATTGTCGCCAGCCGAAGAGGACCATGAAACGGGCCCTGACCTGTTTGAAAAAGCAGGTACCTCAGAGCTAGGCAACGATGATGATGGACAAGGCGAGGAGGCTTCAATGCTATCGCGGAATGCGGAGGAACAATCAGAGGAGTTACCGATAGAGTTGATCAGTCTAACTGACCGGTAGGGTGAACGCTCAGTTTTTTGGCGGTGTTATCAATTGCTAACAATGTTACTTGTTAGATTTGTCAACTCCCTAAGTGCCAAAGTGCACAGCTCACCACCAACGATTGAGAAAATTTCCCTTCTTTACCAAGATTTTTACGTCCGAGCAGAATCACATATAGCCACACACATATCTGCCCTCGCTTCCCGAATAAACCGTGATCCTTCACCACATCCTCAGCCGAAGTCAAAGAGTAAACGCGTCGAAAACAGCCGGCAGATGCTAACAGCATCAGAAGTCACAGAAAAGCGGATTGCCCGGAGAATGCTTGCTTCTAAGCGCGTCGCTTTGGAAGAAGCAGTGGAACGAAGAGCTTGTGAGAGTATCTACGACAAAATATGGCGGCATAAAAGTACGCTGGATGAAGTCAGAGACGAGAAGTTACGTTCTAAAACAGCCACATTACTCCTAGTTGGAATAAACCTGAATGACCTTGGGGTCGATGTCGACACAGCTTCTATCGATGAAGAAAAGCAGAAGGAAGCTGATGAGGGCTTGTCTGTTGCCAGAGACTATCTCAACAAAATGAACGAAGCAAAATACCCATTAGGGAAGCTTCGGCATCTTGCCGCCGCCCACAAAGCGATAGTTGATGCCTTAACCAAACTACTACCTTCTTCATCTTCCGCTGATGAGATTCTGCCTACCTTGATCTACTCACTTATCACGTCCCCCCAGGAAGGCATTAATGTCATAAGTAACTTACTATTCATACAGAGATTCCGATCGTCAAATAAGATTGATGGCGAAACTGCTTATTGTTTGACGAACCTTGAAGCAGCAATAAGCTTCTTGGAAAACGTTGAACTTTCTGAGCTCCGCGCTGACCAAGTGCCGGAGGGTCAAACGAAAGTTCCTAGCAGCGAGACTACACCAGCCATAGAAAAGGGCGACCCTCGGCAACCTACAAAAGATGAACCAGCTTCATCTCTTACGACAGTGACGACTTCTGCGGAATTTTCGAAGTCTACCGGCAAGGAATCCGCTTCCAATGCTTTGCCCAGGCCTCAACAGCCCGCAACAACGCAGCAACGTTTGAATAACCTATTTCAACCCCCATCAAAGGTCTTCGGTGCAGCAAACGATGCTGTGCGTAATACTGCAGACCAGAGCCTAAAAAATATAGGTGCAACATTGGACAGCAGTTTCAGTTTTCTTTTCGGCCGTCTCAAAGAATTGCAGTCTAGCCAACATGCTGGCAAGGATGGAGGTAATCCGATGGTACCGAAAACACTGGCAGAAGCCAGACGCCTGGTTACGTCCCCATCTTCCGCAGATAATAACTCCCCCGGCCAAGAATTTAAGGCAACGAGCGAGGCCCCCAACGATCGGCCTCACCTCAGGCATATCGGCTCAAAGGCAGAAGATACTTTCTTAGGACTGGTTGGTGGGCAGAGGACGCCGCGCGACCGAAGTGCGGACAGCGTCAGAACGCAAGGGAGTTCCAAGAAGACTAACGCTGCTTCGATCTCCTTGAGAGATGAACCGTCATTCGGTATGCCCCAGAGCTCCCCAGCGAGCTCGTCTTCTCTGGCCCCTACACCTCTGGAATCGATGCGGAACTTTGGAAATACACTCAACCCCCTTAACCATATCCCTGGCATGATCAGGAGCTTCGGTCGTGCTACTCCAGACGGCACGGGGGTCCTTTCCACCCCCTCTCCTTCTACAAAGAGCCCTCCAATCTCAAGAGAGATGTCCTCAAGCATGACTGCTACTTCGTCTAAGATCGATCCTCCGATTCAGCGTTTCCTTCAGACAGCGCACGCCAGCGATCTAACAATTGGGGATGTAACCACCCTACTTGAAGATTATAAAAGGATCGCCGCAGTCTTGTTAAAGCAGGGCTCCAATCCGAAATGAAGACCGAAAATCTGATCCCACCATGTTTTCGTCCCTTCTTTCTTGTAATAATTTGCTCTTCTCCCTTTTTTGCCATCATCATAGCGTTGCGAATTCCGAATTATAGATTGCTGGTGGCGCTCTGTCTCTGGACCTATCATGTTGAATATTTCCTGAAGGATGTAGGTAGCTGACATTGAATGCAGCTTGAATATATCCTGCGTGATCTGAATGTTCATTTCGTATAGTAGTAACACTACGGGTACCCTTCCTGAGCTATAGCACCCTTCATATCAATTAAAACCAACTTAAGAAACCCCCTCAATATGCTTAGGCCACCCTGGGAATGTGGGGATAATTATATGAACATGAGTATGCACAGTGAATATGAAGGGCTGCAGTCGTATTCAACAAATCTCCAGGATCAGAATACGTTGCAGCAAAAATAAAGCCGAAAGTAAAAATACGTTTCACGGAGTGCGACCACGTAGTACCTCAACACCACCGGTCCTCATTTCATCTAGCTTTCTAGAAAGATCAGAAGATTGCTCCTCGACACTCTCGTGTCTTCTCTTGACCTCGGCTTCGAACATAGCGGCCGTTTTTCGTCGAGCATGACGCAGGTCCTTCATCTTGGTGAGCATCTGAGTGAATTGATCTATCAACTGATCACCGCAATCCTCCCATTCGTCCATTGATAGATTGGAGAAATAAGTGCGACGGTCGGCATCGGAAAGATTCATAAGGTACGGGATTTTGTCTTCTGGGTCGGGTTGCGTTTCCTGGGTTGCGTTCGGTGATGGGGCGGCTGCTGGAATATGATCAAAAGGCTCCGCTTGGAGCTCAGCAAATGACTTCTGATAGAGTATATCTGGCGGATAGTCAGGTTCGATATGACGCTTCTTTGGGTTGTGTTGATCCGGACTAATACGCTGGACTGAGAGACGTCGGGAGAAGGGATCATTGATGGGGTCATCATCGTCATTAAGGGCATCGATATTCGTCACGTCAAAAGCGGTTATTGACTGCATGCTACCACGTCTGCCGTAGTTGTTTGAAAAGAACCCGAGGCCTACATTTTCCACGGAGTCTGAAGTTTCAATGCTCGTAATCCTCTGGGATTGTTGCGGCCGAGGACCAGGGGTGCGACGTGTAGGGGTCAAGTCTAATTGTTCCAGAAGAGTAGGCTTTGGTGGGCTGAATCTTGTCCTCGGGGTTGCATTCGTATTAGGAGGGAGTGTAACTTTCCTAGGTGCAGCGGCAGGTAGGACTTGACTAGTCCGTTTAGCGTCCTGTATTGACCGGGTGAAAGTTGGGATCTTCGACTCCACATGAGCCTGATTTTCCGGCTGGTGGTACGTCTTTCGGCCGGCATTCCAGAAGTTCTGCAGACGTTTGCTCAGAGGCTCATCATTGAGGCGTTTTCTGATAGGAACCACCGATTCGTTGGTTCCATCGGAGGCCTCATCGTCACCCGCCACTGATGTTAGCTGACTTTCATTGTCGGTTTCATCTGAGTCGAATCCAGCAGTTTTCAAGGCCCTGTCCCCAAAATTGTCATACCACTGGGAGTCAAAAGGGCGCCGTGTTTGTTGGAATTGATGCAGAGTGTTCGCAGCAGCACCTTGCTGTCGAGCATTCGGGGCAGGAGAGAATCGGTATGGAAGATCCTCAACACCAGCGACACTCGTCGCTGCAATGGTCGAGTCATCGATACCTTCCACATCTGTGTCAAACATGTCCTTTTTCGCACCATTTTCATTTGGTCCTTGTGGCCCCCCAGGAGCAGGCGGGCCACCGTAGTGTTCAAACTGAGTTGGTCTATTGATTGGCAGAGGTGTGGGCGCAATCAATTTTGGTGTCGGAACTTCAACCCTTGCCTGTTCGGCTATCTGCTGCCGTGATTGATTGGAGACATCAAGCTTAGGTGGTCTGTGTTGACCAGCTTCTTTTGAATGTACATAATCTCCGACACCCATTGTCGCAGAGATGAGAAGTGGGATGAATAGCCGATTTAAACATGCAATAAGGGACAGGGAATCAGAGCCAATTTCATTATACTAGGGGTTCTCCACTCAGGACACGGATAATCTACCAGTGGTTGCAGTGGGGTCGATCATGTTTGCCATGGATAAATATCGGCCTTGCTCAGTGGTGGACGCGTTACCTTAATTTTTGCTTTTAAGGCACGCGCGAGGCATCCACGAGGTCACGTGCGGTGCATGGTGTACGTAGTCTCCATTGCAGTCAAGCTCTTTCTTGGTATTTTAAATGGAGCTGGGCAAGGATTTAAGTATGTGGTTGTACATATCGTCAATGCATGTTGAAGAGATAAGTATCTGATTGGCATCCTAGGTCTCTACTGTGATCACTCGGGGGTATAAATTTCACCTTATACACCTCCCGTTGGAGTTCTTCTATCTATTCGTGCGAAGATAGCCAATATTCATCAAGCGAAGCATTATCGTCAATGTGTAGGTCCTCAAGTGTTGAGGTCATCCCTTTGCCACGCTGCTTCGCTTTTTCAAAGAAGCCTTGAGCATTTTCAAACTCAGATTGTCTCTTCTCATCCGCAAGTCTCTGCTCCCGTCTGGCTTGAATCGAGCCTTGAAAGTCTTCTCCTGGAATCAAGTCGTTGTCATCAAGCCCGTCGATTTCCTCCACGCGATGGGCCACAGAGGACATGAAAAGGTCGCCAATCCAAAGAGAAACCATGCCTCTAAGTTCTAGTAACTCGGGAGAATCAGAATATGGGGGAGAGACAAGAACTTCATCCATTCTAGCCGCAATCTTCTGAGCTTCGTGTAACTCAATTGCTCTGATGTCTGCGACAAGGCTCTGCGTTTCTTGACTTGAGCCATCGGAACTCTCTATATCAGATGCTGCATCGTCCGACTCTTTTGGTGGAACTTCTTGGCGATTTCGGATATCTTGACGAGCAGCATTGCTCTCCGCTTGCGTAACATAAACCCAAAGTCCGAACATGGCTGGGTAAAAGTGCAAAGAGCTCGTGAAGTCTGGAGCAGTTTTCCGAAATGGATACTGGACCACGAGTCTCTCATAGTATTGCTTGGCAGCTTCGAACCCTTTTCTTGTAAAATAAAGCTTAGATATTTCTGTTTTTTGGCCATTTTTGACAGCTCTCGCAGACCCCGAGGCGATTTCCGATAGTTGGCGATCTCGACGGAGCAATATTTCAGCCCCAATACCCCATCTCCCTTCAGCGCGCACATCCATTGGGTTTCCTTGAAATTCCTCACGAAGGATTAAGCCCCAGGCCCTTCCAGCACGAACATAGTCTCTATCAAGAAGGCAACGATGCAAAATAGAAGAGAGAACAGCAAGATGCTGCAGACGAAGATTGCCTTGGTAGGCTGCAGACTGCGGTGGGTAAATCGGTGGTGTCAATGATGATAATCCTTTCATAATATTATCCTTTCCCCGATTGCTAGCGGTTTCATCTTTGGCGGGACCATGTGGGAAATGGCCCCCTGGTAGTTCTCTGTCGAAAGATAAACCGGCTATGCGATATTGATGTGCTTCTTCTGGTGATAGAATTAATGATGTTCCAGAAGGTGCGATTTCAGACCCAGCATCAGTTGTTTCGCCTTCAAAAACATCTTCCTCGGTGCCCCAGCCATCATAGTCTTTTTTACGCTTTTTCGTATCATACCGGGCAATGCGCGCACTTTGAGGTTGTTGCCATGATGGAATTGGCAATGAGAAGGCAGAGGCTGAGGGAACAGATGCCATCAGCGGTTAAGAGATGAGTAATCTATGGCCTGGATGTTTGAGCTACTATCCATGGATGCATTGGTCATAAGTCGAGAATTAATTATTCATATGCTTGATTGACATTAATCGTAGCTCTAGCTGTATCACAAAGCAGGAACGCGGTTCCGTAGTAGAGTTTGGAATATCGTATCCTGGAGGCACAAAGGCATCAAGAGGGCTAAACCTCAGGCTCCATAGGTGCAGAGGGAACTAGTACTATTTAGTACTAAGTAGTATAAGATAGTTAGTAATCGATAGTCACCGCTTACTTCGCTAGGCATAACTGCCCTCCGCTGTTGATGGTTCAGTATGGACGGGAGTTGCCAACCTTGATAACTAGTTGATACCTTATTAGTACTAGTACTAGTACATAATACTTTAGTGGAAAACTGTATGTATGTACCGGAGGATTCATATATCAAATGGTAATGACGGATTTAAACTTCATCTTACCTTGACTATACTTGCTATCATGAATTCATTAACGAATAGGTCCAAGAGATAGCCTGTTTCTGTCCTGTGCGAATGGAGCGCTTTCGGTCAAGGAACAATGTGGTATGTACGTTCCCGGCAAGCATGTACTGTACTGTAACACAACTGAGTATTAGGATGCCAATCCCTCAGCCAAGAAAGTCACGGGCTAGCCTCGACCCGCCTTAACCAAAGCGCCCTGACCTGAAGACCACCACACCTAATTTAGGTGCGGTCCTTATCAATTGTCATCATCATCTTCATCAGCATCACTACCACTACCACTACCACTACCACCATCATCCTTCCTCTTCCCTCGTTCCTGCCGTCTCTCTCGTTTTGGATTCACGATACCGCATATAGTATTACGTTCTAGTGGTAGTTCTCTGGGTAGCCGACCACCTGGCACTACAACATACCTACCGTTTCTATTCTTTAATTCTCTCCCTGACGGCCTAATTTCATAACCGACTTTGTATCGCCAGTCCTTTCACGGTTCCATACTATATTCCCATGTTTGTTGCTTAAACTGTCCAATGGTATGTGGTATGTGGCTCTGTTAAACCAATATGGTGTAGTAGTTGGGAACTCCCAGCACCGGAAGTTCACGGTGCTCAGGTGCTCCCGAGGATTCCGCGAATATGTTTGCCTTAACAATCATTTGACCTTCCATCTATCCCTGCTCCTATCTAACTATCTTCCTATCTCTCGAGCACGTTTCCCCTCAGCAGTGAATGCGGTATTGTTTGTCTTACTAATGTTTAATTGTGTCTCTTTAGTCATCAAATGCCGATGGCAATACTAGGCGGTTTATAAATTCCAGCGCCACGTCCTGACCATTCATTTGTTACTATGGGACAATCCTCCTCTACGCATCAACGCCACAACAATCCTTCAAACCGTCTGTCATTCATACACCGTGGTCATCGCGATAGGGATAGAGATAGGGACATGAACAACGATCACAATTTGGAGCAAAACGGGGTTTTTAGGCCCCAACGAGCGGCGGATAATGGCGATATGCTACCGGATCAAGCCAGCTCAGGGTGGGAGACATGGCGACCGGCCGAGGAGCAATCGAGTGGTATAGGACATATGGGAAGCATTCAAGAAGAAAATGGGCCACAATATGAACCGACTCAGCGGGAGTATCGGTCTGCGATCTTTGCCCGCATGGCAGCAAGAAGGCAATCCACGATGTCAAGGCTGGGGTCCAGAATTCTGCCAAACTCAGTAATTCGTGGTCTTCTTAGCAGCGAAGAAGAGACACCTGCTGAGGGCCACGCTCATCGACACGGGATCGTATCGAGGTCGGTACCAAGATCAGAAGTCGCTCATACCAGCAGTCGTTTTAGTCCGTTTAGCTCTCTTAGCTCAAGGGGTATCTCTCGACGACGCTCAGCCCGAGGTCCCTATTTCATTCCACGCAGTGATCCGGGACTACTTTCGGATGCTCCCAACTCTCCTACTTTTTTCGACCCTACCTCAGATCATACACCAGACACAACTAGAAGTTCTTGGCGTCGAAGCACTCGGTTGCATCGTGTTAGAAATTCACTTTCGGGTCCGATCACACAGATGTTCGGCCAACCGTCTACAAGCATGTCTGATCAGGACACTGGAGGTATACGTCATTCGATAGGACCCATACCTAGCGACACTCCAGGTACATTCCTCCCTCAACCAGGACCAATGCCTAGTCCGATGGACTTTGATGAGCCCCATGAACTTGATTCCGTGGAACCTGCCATAGGAAACACCCGCCCCACCTCTCCCATGCCTTTGCAGTCTGGGCAAAGCCCAACTGGCTTGCGACACTTCCCAAATCTATTGCGAGCACGCCCATCTAGAGTTTTGCGGCGGGAAGAGCAGACACCGCTGTCGCGTGTCCTCCAACTGGCGGCTGCTGCCATTGCTGCCCAACTTTCTGGCACAACTGGCCCTGTAATGCCTAATATTCAAGCCCTTGGCAACGAAGGTCTCGACAACTCTCTAGAAAACTTTATACAGAGTTTACAACACGCCACTTCCGCGCAGACAGCAGCCGATAGTCAACCCGCTTCTGGGGACAATGGAACGCCAACTCCGGTCAATTTCTTGCGGGTATTCCGCTTCGCAAATTCAGATGGCGCAAGGCCTTCAGCAGCTTCAAATCAATCTGCAACAGCCACGAATGCTCCAGAGAGTGGCGCAGATGGGACGGATGTTGAGAACCCCACGGATGGACCCGAAGGGCGTACCGTTACCCTGGTTGTTGTGGGAGTAAGGTCTGTCCCGTCAGGTAACAATCCCGGCAATGACCAGCAGAATCCAGGCTCTGGACCTGGCTTGGATGCGTTGCTCCGTCTACCGTTCTTGTCACCAGGGAGTCTACCACGGACTCCAGACAACGGTCCTAATCTCACATCACGCGCTGAAGGACGACCAAGATTCATGCCTAGTCGTCATCAAACTGGAGGTCCTAGTACTACGCCTACTAATGAAGATATTCCCCTGCAACTCGGACATCAAAGTCCGTCAAGGAGGCTATCGGATGCCGGGAGTCGTGGACCCCTTTCATCTCTACCTTCGATCATCTCTGAAAGCCCTCCTGGCCCTCACCCTCCACCATCGACGCCTGCTGAACCCGGACTTTCAGCCGTGTCGTCAGGTGCTTCAACTCCAAGTCGAAGACCGTCTTCTGCATCGGTGATGTCCCCAAGCATTTTGCCACAACTGGACGAACACCGGATTATGCAGCCTCCAGTTGAACCTGCTGATGGTAACATTCCATTCAATATATCTCGTCAGCGACGTCGTAGTGATTCTGAGTATGTCCGCCATCGTGACCTAGGCGCTGGTGCGATCAGGCGCAATGGTGTTGTCGAACCGGACAATCCTCCCTCTCCTGCAGGTAGGAGTTGGTTGATCTATGTTGTGGGAACAAACCTTTCGGAAAATCACCCCGCGTTTGCGACACCGAGCCTCTTCACCGATGTAAGGATGACAATTATCTTCACTTTGCCAATAGAATCTAGGCTAACTTAAAACTAGAACCCAACGTATGAGGACATGATTCTACTCTCGTCTCTCCTTGGTCCGGTGAAACCTCCGGTTGCTACTCAAGATGATCTCACTTCGGCTGGTGGAGTATATCGTCTTGTGGAATATAGTGGCACTCTTGTTGCGGAAGCTCTGGATGGTGCTGGCGCCATTCAGATTCCCAACGGGGATCGGTGCCTGATCTGTCTTAGCGACTACGAAGCTGCTGAAGAGCTCCGGCAATTGACCAAATGCGCGCATGTATTCCACCGAGATTGTATAGATCAGGTTCGTTGACAAATCTACCCTGAGCCTTTTCCGTGGAGCTAACATATTCTATAGTGGTTGACAACTGGTCGCAACTCTTGCCCTCTATGTAGAGGTCAAGGCGTAGCCGAGACATCGAATGCAGATCGTACTCCAGAGAATACGTCATCTGCTTGATTGCCGACTTCCTGCTCATATTAAAGACCATCTGTCCCTCTGCCACCCATTTGCATTGGTTACCACCAAAGATTTGCATGAGCGCATATTCCATAGCTTAACGACCTTCTTCTTTTGTTTTCACCGAGGATATCCACTGCAGCATTTTCTTTTTCTCTTTTCTGCATACTCTTTTCCTGGAGCCTACTTTTTTCCTCTGTTTTTAATATTGGCTGTTGATATTGGGATGAATAAAGGCAGGATGGTGAGACGACGGATAGAATGGCGCAGAATTGTCTCATAACTTTGCCAGAACACTGGGTTCATCATCTATGTCTCCTGTACCTTTCGATGTGACATAGGTATGAAATATTGAAATCTCTACTATAAGATAATAATTCAGTAGTTGTAACGTACTGTGTGGTAAGGTAGAGAAAGAGATACTTGATATGATATTGTTGTAGCAATACTGAAGTACCTAGGACGCAGTACAGGCAGTGAAACTGAAGTTGACCAGCTAGAGTATACTATGTAGTATCGTATAGACTTAAGACGCCATATCAGGTAGGTAGGTAATAATATGAGATCGAAAAAATACATCAAAGACTACTATATGAGTTCCCTTACAACTCTGCGCCTATACATATATACACATTGTTATACGAATTACTAAAGCATAGATATTATTGTCTAAGTTCCTATAATTTAGACATGTTTTCCCCCCCCTTTTTCTTTTCCTTCTCAATTTCAGGATGGACTACCGAGTATACATACAACGTAATATACAGTACCAACAGTATTCCAGATGCCCCGCATGCGTCGACTGGAAATGTTTTTTGCCCCTCTTCAACAAGCTGCTGACTCAGCCCACATCTTTCGTCAACCCCACCAACTATATCTATTTATCAATCTATCGATTCTCACGGTCGTTGAGAGGAAGATTTAAGCTTATCCTCGCTCCGTCGGGACTCTTTTTCATCACCTGCGAGCTTTCTCCGTCCATTTGGCTGCTTTACTTTCATTATCTCATTTACCTGAATCAATTGAGTTGGGTAGAAATAGACTAGCAGGAAATTGTTGCCAATCGTTATCGACGACACTTCCTATTCTCCGTTTCTCCAGCCACACCTATACATTATATCCAGAATGGATGCACCGATTCGACTCACTGTATTGATATCAGGCAATGGCTCAAACCTCCAGGCCGTAATCGACAAGAAAGTCGCGGGGGAACTTCCGGTGAACATTGTCCGAGTCTTATCGAACCGCAAAGACGCATATGGACTCGAGCGTGCCCGACGTGTGAACATTCCTACACAATACCACAACCTTGTGAAATACAAGAAGCAGCACCCTGCGACACCAGAGGGTATCCAGGCGGCTCGGGAGGAATATGATGCGGAGCTGGCGAGGTTGGTCCTTGCGGACAGTCCAGACATGGTAGCTTGCTTGGGATTCATGCATGTGCTGTCTCCGAGGTTCTTGGAGCCACTGGAGACGGCCAAGGTTAAGATTATTAACCTTCACCCTGCGTTGCCGGGGGCCTTTAATGGAGCAGTATGTTCTCTATCTTCCCCTTGTTGCATTCTTCTTGACTACATCTATAAAGTTGTGGGTACTCCCCTCGAGGAATGATATGGTTAACTTGCAACTCCTTGCAGCATGCAATTGAGCGGGCCCATAGCGCTTGGCTAGAAGGAAAGATTGACAAGACAGGGGTGATGATCCACAAGGTGATCTCTGAGGTTGATATGGGTACCCCTATACTTGTACGAGAGATTCCATTCGTCAAGGGAGAGGATGAAAATCTTGAACATTTTGAAGAAAAGGTCCATGCTATTGAATGGGGGATTGTGATTGAAGGTGTAAAGCTTACAATCGATGAGATAAGACAGGAAAAGAAACGTGGTTCGACGGAAGCATGAACGAGGCTGCCACACCACAAGAGGGTGAAAAAACAAAACAAAGAAAGACTGAAAAAAAAAAAGAAAAACAAAAAAAGAAGCGGTCTGGTCTAAGATGACTGGTCACGGCTATACCCTCCGGGACAATCATTATTGGTTTCAAATAAGCATTGAATGATACGATCTGGCGGTATGGTTACTGAGTACTGCTTAGTTTGCAGTGCATACGTAACTACGTGTTTTCTGGATGTGCTAATGGAAAAGATTTCCAGGTCCTGTGATTGAACTTTTAACTCTTAACCCAAAAGGAGACCCGAATGAAGTTATGGACATGACTCGTAGACTTTTTTCAATGGTGATCAATAGGATTTGGCCGAGCCCTCGAATTCAAAGTTCAATTTACGTACTATTCCCCTGGCCGTCGTACCTAAGCTACGGAGTAAGATCTGTCCTACGCTGAATCACCGTGTGACTGGCCTTGTGGATGGTGGCTTTCTGAGACTCCATTGTCGTGGAATGACTGCAGATCACGTTATACTCTATTAGGATGGCTATGACTATGCACATCGGGCCCTATGAGTATGCCCTTACCTGGTCATACCATACCATATTGTCCATATTCCCACGGATTCAACGTATCGACTTTCTTTTACATACGAGGCTAGTGGGATGTACTATTGAACGATTCTGACAGTCTGACTCGTCCAAAAGAGTGATCTAATCCTTTAGTATCCCGCGCTCCTCGGAGTTAATCATCATAGTGGATTAGAGAGACTCCGCCACCTAACCCGAGGCAATTAAGGGTCGGATTTGGGGAGGGTCAAGGCCTATGATATGGCCTCAACGGTTGGCCTGCATCTAAGCTAAGGCAGAGCACATCCTATGAGGATCTGCCCTAGATAGTAGGCCAACACTAAGTGGTCGATGGGCCGGCTAGTATCCTCCTAGCGGGTTAGTCGCCATTTCCGAGAGCTTCTCGGATAGGACAGAGATGGAGGGACAGGAATTAATCTAACTCAGATTGGTTTCAGAACGCCCTCGGAATGAGCCAACTGCAAGCCACCGGATTTATGATATGGGGGCCATTGGATCGTCACGCGGACGACGATGTGGGAGCCGATCTGATTCTCATCCCCTCTTCTCCCCGTTCTTCCTCCCCTGCTTTCCCCCCTAGCCAGCTAGTGATCTCAGTTGAGTCAATTCCTCCTCCAGCAAACTTCTCGGTGTTGCCTAGTTGAACTGCTCTTCGACTGTGTTGACTTGGGTTGTCTTACCAAAGCTGGACTCAGTGGGCATGTTGTTTCAGATCGCCGGCCACGTAGGTACCTGTGCGTCATACAATCATCATCCGTGGATCGAGGCAACTCGGGATGAATCTCATTCTTAAGCCGGTCAGGCGTGCCATTAAGCAGACTAGACAGTAAGGTAGTCACTTAGAGTTTGGGGAGGGCCGCAATCCGGGACCGTGGGCCCCTAAAACAAAAGCGGAACAGAAGTACGGTATCTTTTGACCGTCGCATAGATAGGATATGTGCAAGCGTCAATGTGCATAGAGAGAGAGGTATGGATGTCCCAGTAGTAGGTCTTTGGGTCCATCGCTCACGGACGTGGAATGGTCCCCGAACAATTCATTTCTTCCATGTGGGTGATGGATCCCTTTCCCCATCCGGGGAGCCACCATAGGCCAGGACAACAGATAGTCAAGCGCTTAGTTTGGCTCCCAAGGAATGTGAGTGGTAAGTTGTCCGGATTGATTCCATCCTCTCCTGGGCATGGTGCTCATTTCCCAAGTGATGAACAGTCTACCCACAGGAGCAATTTACCTCCTTTTGCCATGGGCCATACTCCGTACGGTCCCCATTTTCAATCCTTGGTTACTATTTTCACGGGATCAGGTAGATAGCCAGGCCACTTAATTCGTTGGTGCTTGAATAATTTGGGTCCTGTCTTTTCTTTTTCTTCTTTTTTGTTTTCCCACTGCGGGTTCCAGTTGTGAAGATATTGTCCCACTTGGGTCCAAATTCCTCGTCACGAGCTTTAGCCAAGAACCTTTACAATGACTGGTAAGAGGTACAGAAAGAGAAACAAGAACCGACAAACTGAGAAGAAGAAGACGAAGAAGAAGAAGAAGAAGAAGAAGAAGATAAGCTGGTAACCACAAGCTTTCAGTCAGCAATCTTCTCGACTGCGAAACAAAAGTGGATAGCGTAGTACGTAGTACGAATTATGCAGAAAATTCTTATTTCCTGTACATAATAACGGATAGAACGAATACGAGGCTTAACGGGGGCTCTGCCAATTTGGACTGGTCCCCGGCACGAAACTTGATCTGCGGGTTGAAATGGGTTGGGTTGAGCATGAGCGAAAGAGAAAAGCTGTCAAAAACCCTCGATGTCGATCAGGAACGGATGTCTATCCGGTTCGGCCGATTTGCTTCCTCGGCGGGTCAAAGTTCCCCTTCTATCCCGTCCGTTGAAACTACCACGACAAGAAAAAAAAAAAAGAAAAGAAAAGAAAGAAAAAAAAACAGGATTACTATTAATCATGGTTACTTAATCAAACAAAACTGGTTGCCTAGTACATTGTCCACTTTATGACAGAATGATTCCTGATAGTCCCATGAATTGACCTGCAGCGGACGGCGATCGCCATGGCGATCAAATGCAGCTGCTCATTTACAACGAACCACATGCACAGGAAGGATGCAAAAACAGTTCACCAAATGTCTCGCTTGTAACTGGCGGTACAGATCGTGTGGCATGCTCCTAACCAGGACCACAACGGCTGTCAGATGTCCAACCCTGTTCATAAGACTGACTCCTATGAGCCAGGTTGATGGAACGTGGTGCGCAAAAAGGCTACTTCTACTCCACCGAACCATTGTACGGTATACGGCTCGAGTCGGTAGAACTAATATTCTTTTCCGTCTCCACTACTGGAACAGGACGTCGGCAAATCCTGCCTAGATAGTACTGGTTTCAATGAAGGGTCAGTTTCATATTTGCCGACGCGGCGAACGGCAGTATGGATGGATTTGTTTTAGATGCCACGGTTCTACAAAGTGTTACAATTGCAATTATCCACAACATTCCCCGAGAAAGAAGGTTGGGCGGAGTGCTCCGCGTGGTGCAGAACGAACGGGAGGGCGTTCAATGGGCCAGACTTTCAGGGGGTTTAAAAAAAAAGAAAAAAGAAAAATAAAAATAAAATAAAATAAAATAAAATATATCAAAAAAAAAAGGAAATAACAATCAGTCGCTGGGATTTGCTGTGGATGGACCGTCAAAGCTGCCAGTAAGATTTACACCAGGACAGAAAATTGCCGGCAGCAAACTTGAATCATGTTCTGGAGCTCAAAGGTATCAACGGCACTTGTTCGGCATTCCACTAAATATATTTCGTACTGTTCAATGGACGTATGAAGCTGGACAAGCCCTTGGCAGACAATGACCACATCTGGTCGGGGACCACTGGGTCCCTTGGTTTTTTTT